CATTTTAGTAACCATACCAGTTTTTATTCCAGTCCTAATGTTGTCTTTACAATAATATGCTCTGGTTTTACCATTGCACTTTCGCATTATACAAGGATCGCTACTTGGATGCTTATTAACTTTTTGTCAAGGTTTGTCTTCTTTTGATTCACTCTTCTGATCACCACATTTATTCCTTCTTCCCAAGTCCAATTCGTTTTACCCGAATAAGTCTGACTACATAGAAAGTAGCTGAAACATCATAAGAGGCTTGCAGTGGCTTTAGTTGCCTGGGTACCAAAGAGGTTATAGTGTACATGCTTGTGTGTGTTTGTATGTGTGTGTGTGTGTGTGTGTGTGTGTGTGTGTGTGTTTGTGTGTGTGTGTGTGTGTGTGTGTGTGTGTATGACTGCGGTTAGATGTGTATACGTTTGTAAATTGTAACTATATGGGCAAATGCATTTGTATAGAGGTGTATCGTGAGTAACTAAGCATCTGTGTGCGAGCAGTGAGAATAGAAAAGTGGTCTATACTGTTTTCTGCTTTTGCATTATAACATATTTTCACTAATGTTTTTCACCTAAGGTCATTTAATACCATCGATTCATAACCTGTGCACATTCAAAATGTTTTGTTTTGCCACGATAAAGTACCACCCTGATTTGTGCCTAGCAAATGTATATCATTACCGAATTGGCTGGAGTGCCATGTTTGTACATGTATATTTCAAACAACTTGTGCATTTTTCTGCTTCTGCTGGTGAATCCAATTTCGATTGCAGCTAATGCTATATTAATCATTGTCTGCACTTTGTTGTCGGCTTGATTTCGCTAAATTATTTTGGATATGAGAGTAATATTCGCTAAAATATTCGGATGAGAGAGGAATAGTTGGACGAGTAGAATATAATATTATGTTTGAAAACCTTGCTTGATTGTTGAATGTGTCATTTGAGTTAATGAAAATGTATATTATGGGCTCACTTACATGTGTACGTGTGAGGCTCGAACTAAGATTGAAATTTGTGAATATTATTTATATTCACTTTCAACATGTGCCAAGTGTTTGATTTGCATAATCAAATTGAATGGTTTGCTACATAAAGCATTGGCTTCGAATTAAGCACAATTTGTATGCAATTCTTAAAGAATAGAAAACTTAATGTGCTTGATTTTTTCATATTTTTAATTCTGAAAAAAAAAATGTCATGAACCAAATATTTCAATTATGTGTTAACAATCATAGGCCGTCACATTGATATCAACAATACCGGTACCATAATTAATTGTGTCCCTTCACATAGTATGTGCACTCACTTTCATTGCTCTCATACTTCATTTTTGTGCTTTCTCAGCGAAGAGAAACGGTACGGCAAATGGGAGGATGAAACCAGTAGGGTACTTATATCATTTAATAGAAGCTTTGTCTTAAAAATTGATCATCGATTTTGTCCAAATTTTTATGTCGTTTTTATCTTCATAAATTATTCATCCAGGTCGACTTTTTGTGTTGCTTTGGTTTATACTGTGAATATTAATGAAATATGAGTCTGCTTTTATACCGTAACAAAGATAATGTTGTGATAGGAGAGAGACAGAGAGACAGAGAGACAGAGAGAGAGAGAGTGAGAGAGACAGAGACAGAGACAGAGAGTGAGAGAGAGAGGGGGGAAGAAGAAGAAGACGAAGAAGAAGAAGAAGAAGAAGAAGA